TAAATTTGTTAAAGACGTCTCAGCCAAACTACAACAAAAATGATATTGGTATGGTAACGGTGAAGATACTAAAACCGTAAAAAAACCTGCAGTGACCTCAACTGGGGATCTTTCCCTCCAGAGAACAGAAATTCTCTAAATCATTACACCCGCTGGGGCTGACTTCTCAGTGCCGACAGCAGATGCAGCTCTTAATTCCTCTTTTCCAGAATGACTGAAGAAAACAAAGCATAGCAACCCACAAAACTCACTCCTGCACATGCAAATGCCTTTGGCACAATTTACTGCCCGTTTATTAACGGGCAACAGGACAGACCTTTGGCTGCAAAGGTTTTGAAAAACACCACACATTGACATGATCCCAGGAGAAACTCGGGTCCTATCTGCTCTCCACCAGCTCTGACAAGTTCAGGATTTCAGCCAGAGCTCATTTTTGGCAGCCCTCATAGATCTGCATTGTTCCAACCACAACCAGCTCAACAGGAACAACAAAATAAGAAATTCTACCAGAAGCACCGTAACAGCTCAGGCACCTGATGCTAGTGGATGTACTTTGGGACCTTAGTTTTATCAGCCTGGGTGTGTTTTAGGGACAAACATCTGCCTAGTGATGAAACACCACACATCCTGCAGCTATAAATACCCAATCTGCCCAACACGCAGCCTTCTGGGGGGGTTGACCCAAAATTGTTGCAAATACTCGAAGTCCAGTTGTTTCCAGAATGAAATGGCAGCAAGCAAAATGCACCCTCAGATGAGCAAATCCTCAGATTTCTATACAGCTGAGGCGCACCTGTGCTGGGATGTTTCTGAGACAGGCAGTGGCTGGAAAGCGCCTGCTGCCGAGCAGACAATTCGTTTGGTCCATGCTCCCAGTCTCCCACACAAGGGCTTCTCCAGCAGAGAGTTGGAGGGAGCAGAAATCCCGCTTCCTGCCACCATTTCTGCTTTAGGAACCAGAGAAAGCAGCAATTTCAGTTTTTATCTCCTCCTCTTGCTGCTTCAGCCAGATGCTGACTCACATCAGACTGTGCTGTACCACACCCGACTGAGCCACTGGCAGGACAGGGACCCAGCCCAGGCCACCACACCAGGGTGGCAGCAGGGACCTGTCCCTGCACCAGCTCCCTCCCAGCTCCGCAGTACCGAGCCTGGTGTCCCTTCCGAAATCCACTTCTTGTTCCTCTCAAAACCCGTGCCTGTTAGCTCTAGAGAACCCTGGGATAAACACCGACTCCTCTCCAAACAGGAGCGCGGTAAACTAAGATGCAGACTTTTAAACTCTACTGAAATCACTTGGTATTAGGAAAACGAACAAACAAACAAAACCACACAGCGCTTCTGAGACAGGATAACTGTATTTTATACATTTTATTTCTGTGGGTTCTTAGGTTTTAAATAACATAAAACATCTTTGTTCTGACTGTATACCTGAATTGCAGCTCTTCTCCCTTTTCAGTAAACTTTGGAATAACTTTCACAGTGGACATTTTATGATGAGAAATATTCAAAGAATTCGAAGTGCATCTTCTCTGCAAGTGTGAGCCTCCCAAGCACTAAAGTCTAATTTAAGGAATGCCAATAATAATCTTCACTATATAGAAATCCATTGATGATAAAAAAAAATAAATCTCAATTATGTGCAAACACAACCAAACAAATCTTAGAATTGATTCTCAGTTGCAGGTTGGTTAGTTTTTAAAAAGACAGCTTGGTTTCAAAAGGCAGCACTACTCTTCCATAAGTTGCATGCTCTGCTTCATGCTACCAAACACTCTGAACCAACAGCTTCATCTCACTCATGCTCACTGAGAGAGTGGGACGAGACTTGGTTTCTGCCCATGGGTTGATGGGACTCTTAAGGCGCCACAGAACTGGACCGATGAAATGCAACACCAGCTCCGAGATCCTTTCAGCTGTGAGTTATTTTAGAATTAGAGGTTGTTCAGAGTAGTAGCACACAAAAATCATCCGTTCTTGAGTTTCCTATGCAGTAACCAGGCATGAAGAGATTTCTCTAAGATGAGAAGATCAAAATCGCCAACTGCACAGAAACCCCACCGCCGTACATTCCCAATATGCAGAGTCACAATTACCATCATTAGGTATACAAGGGCAAGCGGGGGCCACGAGAGCTACATGGACATCCACGCCGTTGGGGAAGAACAGTTGTTAACAAGCTCCTACACACAACACACTTCACACACAAGCAGTATGAAACAATCTATGGTTACTACCAGGGCCTGAGTACCGCCATAACCAACACTTCAAGTGTTAACTTTTAGGCCCAAATTTTCTCAAAACAATCCTGTGGAACATATAAGTTTCAAACGTCTATATTTAAAATGATCTATTTTACTAACCTGCAAACTTTATTACAGCTACACTGGCATCTGAAGAAAAACACCTTAAGTTAGATTTCAAGTATTCATCAACATTAAAGTTGTTACTCTTTAAGTCCTTTGAAGATCCTGAGACAAACATTCATATCCAATCAAAAACTAAAAAAAAATAATAAAAGAACTAAAGCAGCTCCCAGATCATTGCAAAACCCTGTGCAGGCCAGCACCCATTCACCCAGCCCAGGCTTTTCAGCCAAGACTGCTCAGCCTCCCAGCCCCCCAGGGAAGACTCGCAGCTCCCCACAGAAAGGTCAGCCACAACATTCAGCCACTACTGAAAGCCAAGGTGTCTTATCTCTTGCAGTCACTCAAAATTATATACATCGCTATCCGTTCTTGCTCAGTGAGGAATACGGGAGCACCAGCAATCCCAGCTCTGCCTCTCGACTTCTTTCCACGTATTAACTACACAAAAAGGAACAAGCAAGTGAAGGAAGCCAAGTGGTATTTTATTGACTCCCAGAAGACAGATATGGATTGCATACAACCCTGGAAAATGTCTTTCTTATTAAAATCCTGGAATTATAAACAAGAAAACTCATTCCTCATAAATAACCTGACACTATTCCTTCGTCAACAGGTTTTGGCATGGAACATATTTCCTTTACAGTTTAATTTTAATCACTCATTTGAACAGCTTAAAAAACTATGTCTATAATAATACTTAAATATATTGCTCATATTTGTGACTTCATAAAAAAAATAGTTTGAGCTAATACTTCCCTAGTCATCAAAAAAATCCAGACAGACACCAACTTTTGAATGAGCACTTCAGAAAGATGGGTAAAAATAATTTGCTTGAAATTCTCAACAGCCTTTGTTTGGCAAGAGACAGAGCCCCTTAAAAAACATGTATTTCATCTAATCGCAGTAATGATCTCGAGCAAATGCACACAGTGCAACCAGCTTTCCCATGATCCTGCGGAAAGGTGCACATGTACTCAACTACAGCCACAAAAGAATTTCTGCAACGTGAACAAGACAAGGTTGATCCCAAAGGCAGATTCCCAGCTGCTTGCAAAATCTGATCACGTACAATTAAACTCCTTTCAGTTTTAGAATAGGTCAGTCTAAGCCTCAGCTGGATAATGACCACGAAAAGCCTTGTTGGGCTGGTAGAGGCCATGGGAGCACTCCTGGTTTTCATGAGGAGCCGACAGGATGACGTAAGTCACCAACTGAGCGGAATTAACACAGCCTGTCTACTGCAGCTTGCAACATTTGGTCCTCTGGCGTCTGGAAAAGGCAGTAACCTCTGGAAGCATCATAGTCTTTTCCCAGGGGATCACTAGGCCACAGAACTGCTTGCTTTCCCACAGCAGTGCTCGATATTATCCATAATACTGCCAAAAATGCATTGTTTGCACCTCAGTGCATTACTTCCAAGACACTAACCCAGAGGTTTCAACTAATGCACAAGTGATTTTCAGGCTTGATCATTTTTTGAAGCTGAAAATGGATTCCTACTTGAGCAATAATGAAGCAGCACATCTCACTGGCATTCATGATTGGCCAGAAGTGGTTTGACATCAGTCTCCAACACCCCAAGTATTTGCTAACCCTCCAGAGATGCTGGGGCTGAGGTACGGTACCTCCAGCTACAGCTTCATGGCACGCAGGCTCTGAACATGAAGCTGGCTGAAGGGACATCCATGCTCCACTCCACTGCCTCTGCAGCTGTGCCGGCACAGCTGTAAACTGGTTCTCTGCCCCAACATGGTTTAAAAGCAATGCTTGACTTGACTTCAAAGCACAGACCAGCCCACTGATCTGATGTTCTGTGTGGCACAGGCAAGGGGACAGAAGCCAACAGCTGAAGTGGTGGTGCACCAACCTGGTTTTGTCAGGTGAACTCCTGTGTCATGAAAAATCGCCTTTGTAGTTTGCAAACGGAACACAGAGGAGCTCTGAGATGCTCTTCTGAAAGCACAGGTGATACCTGATGGGCATGAGCCAAGGGATGTGTTTGGAAACATGCCACACAAGCAGAGAAGCGATACTGGGTGTTGTCTCATCTGCTCCTAAATGCCATGTACCAAAAAGTGTTTTAAAAAGTGCCTTCTATACACCTGTTAATCAAACTGATCTCACAACATTTCCCTTCTATCTTACATCTTTACATAAAACAGAAGCCTCTACACTTTTAGGAAAACACCTAAGTAATCACCAAAGCAAATGAAAGCACATTTGAGAGCAACTTACCTAATCAGCTTCATGAAGACGATCACACGTGTAAAGCCAAAAGGCAAGAGACACAACAGCTTGGGTGAGAACAGACATAACTCACGGGAAAGAAGTTCTAACAATTTTTTGTCCATACAAGAGCTTTTCATTTCTTCGACAGGAGAGCAATTAACACCCAGCAAGTGACTGCATTTAGCAATTCAGGCTTAGTGCCCTTAAAATGAGCATTTTTTTTTCCTTAAGTTGCCATATTACTGTTACAGTTATGATTGTATTTTCATGAGTTCCCGGGATATACAAACCACCTACTTCTAAACAGGTTTCTGCATGTTATAGACTAAATTTCTTAACTTACAAAGAAGTATTTCGCTGTTTCCAGTTTACAATGGTAAAAAAAAAATGAAGACTTCACAATGTGTGTAAATGGGAGGTAAATGTATTTTTAAAAACAGAATTAAAAGCTGCATGTTAAAAACTGGGTCACAGACTAATAAATACATACATCGAGACATGAAATTTTCAGCAGCTGGTTTTAAAGAGCAAGGAAGTGGGGGAAAAACTAGCTGTCCAGACTCCATTCTGGCTCTGGGGTCTATATGGTAGATATCTGCAGTTCAGAAACAAGTTAACAGAGGAGTAAAATCAGCTTTGTCACCTATTTTCTTTTTAAGAAATTAAGCTACTTCCTAAAAGTGTGGTGTAAAACCTAGAGAAACTTCCATTTCTTCATGCACTCAATGACATTCAATTAAAAAAAGAAACTATTTTAACCCAGAAAAAATGAGTCACTGTATGCTGTAAGGACAGCCTTACTGCAAGTTTTCTACAGTAAAAGTATTTCTAGAAATACACCAGAAATTACTTCCCCATAACAAAATATACAATTATGTGTCAGATCCTCAAGTTTCAATGCTTAGGCAAAACAGAAACAGTTACTATGAGGTTTCAAAGGAAAAAAAAAAAAAGAAACCCAAAGGAAAGAAAAACCCAACTCAAAACAGTAAAAAGATGTTTTGACAGCTGTGGAGATGCCAGAAAGCGATGCTGGACACCAGGAATTTCCAGAACAACCTCCTTTCCAAAGTGATGTGCAGTCTGCGAATTAGACGGTGAGAGAAAACTGATCCTGTTCTATGGGCTTCTCCACCCAGGCTCCAAGTCCCGCCTTCAGGAATGCTTTAAACAAACACTGTTTGGCAGTTTGATACTCGGTGGCTCCTTGCTTGGTTTCGTGGTACAGGTTAGGCTTGAAGATCTTTGAGCGCAAGCTGGAGGAAAGCTGTGTGGATTACAGGTGAGAAAAGAAGAGAGACAAGAAACTATTAGGCCAGTTTGAGAGTGACTGAGTTATTAAAACAACTACTGTTTAAACCAGGTAATGAACTACTGACTGAGTTATTAAAACAACTACTGTTTAAACCAGGTAATGAACTACTGACCCAGATGTGCAGGCAAAGGCAGACAAGTACACAGGACTGCTCCTTCCAGCCACCATGGCTCTGTACCCAGCTTCACCGCACCCAACTGCAATGTTTGCCTCTTGCAGAGCGAGCCCTTCTGCTCTGCGTGCTACGGCAGGTCACTCTTGGGACTCATCTCACCCCAGCTAGCCTGCCTTTTGCCTTCTCTGCAGTATTAACTTCCTTCAGTGGAAGAAATCTGGACACCAAAAAGGCGCCGACAGATACTTTCCTGTAGCTTTTCTTTCTGAGAGAGGACTGAGAGAAACCTCAGTAGGTTTGACTGCAGTGAAACTGGGATTATCCTTACAAATAAATTAAAAAGAGAAAGCATGCTCAAAGGAGAGCGTACACTTTGTTTACTATAAACCAAAGGTTATTAGATCCTTGCGTGCATTTTGGACCTTTCATCAGCAAATTAAAGAATAAGCTAAACAAATGCATTGTTCATTCCCATTACTACATGGAGCAGTAGCTAAAGTCAGGCTCAGCTTAAAACAGGCTCAGAGAGTGGTTTCTGAGTGCAGAAAGCAGCACACATTCACACATGGTTCATTAAGAATTGAGAAGAAGTGAAAAATCTAGCAGTCTGGCAGATATACCTTTGCATGAATACGCATCCAGCGGCTGTAAAAAGCATGCTTACAAAGGCGAGATGCACGACCCATTTCATCTTTGCCGGTTGTAGCGTTAATAACTTCAAGACCAGTGTCCCCTACTGTCCAGTTCACACTGAAGTTTGGTGCTTTCCCTGGTTGACGGGCTTCCGCATTGCTAATACCTGAAAGAAAACCGACGTTTAATGACAATAATAAATACAAACTCTTGATTATTTGTTTTACTGGGGAGTAAGCGATACAGCAGAGCTACTGAAATCATATCACTAAGCAGTCTTAACAAGCAGATCTTTTACTGCGAGGACATTCTCTGGCAGATTTTTCACCGGCTTGCGGAGATATCACCATGCACATCTCATTCTCATCCTGGCTAAAGTGCTTTCTCCTTCTGCCCTTCCTGGCGGGGCAAGTGTGCATTGCTGGAGCCATGAGAAACCAGCAGAGATCGCAGAGAGGTCTGGGGCAAGGGTCCATGGGGACAGGAACATGAGAACCTTGCCACATCCATCTCAGGAGGATCTGGTCTTGCTTATAGGGCAAACCAATGAACTCATTATTAATCTGCAAATAATTATGAAGCAAAAAAAAAAAAAGTTGCTCTTCTCCTGCACAAGAAACCACTGCTCTCAGAGCCCACTCAGTAGTGGGATGAGGCATGCGTAGGGAAGAGCAAATACTGCAAGGTTTGGTCTGTTGTAATTCTCCAATCATTTCCCTTTCACTCTACTGTTGTAAAAATTTAGTGCATGTTGCTTATCTAATTTCAAAAAGGGTGTGAAACTATGAACCTCAGTCATGCTTCAACACATAGTTACAACTCAGCTATCAACTTTGGACTGCAGTCTTATTTGGAGAGGTCATGCTTATTTAGAAGAGCCTACAATGTGCTTTTTTGCTTTCCCTCATAAAAATTGAGTTAGGTCAGAGCAGCAGTACGGGACAGCAGGATGCCTTGCAAAACAAGGCATGAAGGCACCTGCATTTCAGTTGAGCACGTTCCATTAAAAGCTACCAATCTATTTTCTCCTTCTTACGGACTACACTGGGGCATGGCATGACTGGCACAGGCAGCGGCACTGATGCTGTGGGCATCCGAGTTAGACAAAGTGAGTCCCATCCTCAGCATCCTCCACAGAAAGCCCAGACTGGCTTGACATTTGAGACAGACATTTGAGTCTTCCAGCATAAATCTGTCCGTGCTTCAGCTGCCTCCCCACCTTACATGCCCATTGCCACCTACAGTGCCCAGAAATGGTAAACTGCAGGGCTCAAGAGAGGATGCAGATCATTTTGCTCAGACATTAAATTGAGTGACATCTCTGAAATATGGCTTCATCTCTACTGATGGAGAAGCAAAGCCACCAGAAGTCCAACCCAAGTGTGAAGCAAGGCCAGCTGCTGGCCCAGGGCAGGATTTATACCTCCACAGTGCAGAGATGTCCTGTCCATAATGACTGCGGTACTGTGCTTAAAAATCACAGCAGCTGCTGTCATCCATGTGTGCCTCCTTTCCCGTGTGTGCAGCACTCGGCGCTTGCAAGGAGCAGCCAGGGCCACAAGTGTGTGCTGTGCAGGCCATGGAAAAGCTGAGGAGCACATCGCTTTTCATCCTGCAGACATTACAGGCTTGGCAAAACACTGCCTTTAAGAGGTCTCAGTTATCTCACCAGGAAAGAACAAAGGAAAAGGGAGATTTTTTTTCCTTTTAATAAGATCCCATTTTTACTTCAATGAAACTCTCATTGAGAGTCTATTTCAAATCTATTCCGAGGCTATGCTAGCTCCTACACTTTATAAAATCTAGCTAATTTGTATAAATTGAACAGCAGGATGCATTTCCTGCTAAAAAAATTTGAAATGCAATCTAACAAAAAAATGTTAAGCCAACCTCAGGCACCTGAGCACAGGACTGGCTCACTTGGCCTACATCTCACAGCACCCATGGGCCCAGCGCTGAGAGCGTGCAAGACCTATGAACAAGACAGCGAAATTCGGGTTGCTTACTGTAATAAATTCCTCATTTAATAAATGTTTTCAAACATTTTGAAATATCAATCATATTGAACTACCTGAAGCTGTTGTATTTTTACACTTGGTTTATGATGAAATACAGCAGAGGAACCAACACCATCCACAGGATGCCATAGATCTACACACACCAATCTGTAAATCAGTGAGCAGAAATGTGGGATCCACACACACTGACCAACCTGAGAGGGCAGACAGTGGTCCCTGCTGAGCAGGAACCATCAAGAATATCCTGCAAGCAACACCTGAGGAAGTCTCAGCAAGAACAGGGCTTTATGACAAATCAAGATTCGAAAAGTCTTCATTCCAACCTTCTGTGGTCCTTCTGGAGCTGAGCACGCACAATGCAACTTGTCCTGTGCCACTGAAGTCCACTGCAGGGCAAGCGCTGCTGCTTCATGAGCCAAAAAACAAGAGGCTTGCACCTAAACACCTGATAAATTGTAAATTTTGGGTGCATACAAAATGAAATCTCAACTCTCTATCTCCAAAAGCATACAAAATTCAGGCGGCTTTTGTGAAGCTTATGTGAAACAACTCCTGCTGACAAACCCTTTAACCAAAATTGGTTTTTTTCCAAAGCTGCTGTGACAAGAAGCCTAAGAAACTGCCAAAACACAAGTGGATCGGTCATATTTTTTCTTTAATTTAATGATATCTAATACTAATACCTCTGGCTTCATTCCATACACTACTAAATAAGTACAGTGACCAGATATAGTTCATTGAGTACTGCAAAGCACTCTTTCTTCCTGAGCCTGGCTCCTGCCCTATCAGCTGCTCAGACATCACAAGTTCCCACATGAGCAAATTGAATAAAGACGCGGAACCTGAACATCCAGTAGGCACAGCATTTCCATGGCAATTATACAATTGCATTCCTTAGGTTATTTTGATGAATTAAATACATTTTTTTAAATGGACTCAGAATTTCAAATAAACTTAAATCCTGTGCAGCTGCTTAATTATCTGCACAAACCCTGGAGAGATGGCAAAGGAGTCCCTGAAGGTGCCTCACGGGTAGCACAGATAGGGAATAAAGTTCATCTCAAAAACAAAGTGTTTGATAACACTTTAGGTGGATCATACCTTCCCCCCTCGAAATCTAGACACGAACATAGCATAATAAGCTGAAAACCAGTAATGTGAGAGAAAGCTAGGAGAGAAAGCAAAGTATTTTAGTCTCCTTTGAAAACTGGTATAACTAAACTATTTAGAGAACATCACTCAGAACTTGCTGTTGAATATTAATTACAGTGGGGTATAATAAGCAAAAGCAAAGGTCACAGGTCTTTGTGTCAGTGGTTATACAAATAATAAAGCTTGACAGTTCTTTGAGGACAGAGCTCATAAAAGCTTCATTAAAAAGGAGATAGAGAGCTGAAAAACACCCATGTGAACAAGAAGATAAGGTACCAAGAAAACAGCCTAAAAAAATCACAAAAAGGTTCTGCTGAAGGATTTATTTTTGTTAAAAAAATTAAAATAAAAAATGCAAATGTAGACAGCAGTCAGTCTAAGTGCTAAATGTGCTGGAGTGCTAAGGCATTAACATTTATAATAACCACCCTTGCTGTGGTGGTGGAAGTCTTCTGGCATACAAAAAACAAATGAATGCTTTGCAAACAGGGTGGTGGGTTCCCAGGCCGAAGTCCTTCTTCACAGACAGCGTGACAGAGAAGCTGTCTCAAATGGAGATGCCAGTAAAAATAGTTCTAGGATATGCATACGAAGTAAGCAAACACCAGTTATGGCGCCCAGATAATATTCAACCATGCTCAAGGAAACTAAAAAGGAGGCAGCCGAAATAGCAGTCATGGTACATACCCTCACATCACAAACCACACGAGTTCTCCAGGACAAAAGGTGGCCAACGTGACTCCAGTTTTAAGGAGTTTAGAGGTGTGCCAGAAAACTGCCAGTCAAAAAACACATCGGCACCAGGAAGGCTGTAGGAACGATGATACCGCACTGCTGGGCACAGATGTAAATACAGCAATATTGGGAGAGACTCAATAAAAACCTGCTGTAGTAACTGAAGACTGGAGGTGGCCAGCGTGACACTAATCCTTAGAGAGCCCAGGGAGTAGAAGGCCTTGTCTGCTCAACATCTACCTTAAAAACAGACTTAATGGACACCTGGATGAGGATGGTCTCCTTAGGGAGAGCCAACACAGCTGGAGAGCCTCAAACTCGGAAAGTGTTTAAAGACAGAAAAAACACGGTGAATAAGACTGATGATGATACCAAATTATTTAAGAAGGTAAGTAAGGGAAGCAATTGCAAAGAGTAGCAGGAAAAAAGGTCACAACAACGGGTGACTAGGCAATAAAAAGGCAGATTAAATTCCTCACAGATAAATATAAGGTAATACACATAAGGAAAAAAACAAAGCAATTTTGCCTAAGGAGTGCTGGACTTGAAGCTGGATATTAGCATTCAGGTATGAGATTTTAGTTTCTAATACTCAGTTCTACCAAAAGCTCAGGTCAATGATCAATAGTAATCAAAGGAAGCAAAGTGAATGTTAGGAATTATTACTGACAGATCATGGAACTGAACAGAATATCATAATGCCACCATATAAATTAGTACTGCTGCTTTGTCTTGAGTACCAGGTGCTGCTCTAGTCTCACTAGCTCAAAAATGCAACTGTAAAATGGAATGGATGATCCTCACATGGAAGGATCTCCATGCAAGGAACAACAAAGCAGACTAAGACTTTATAGCTTGTAAAAAATTGGACCTCTACAGGAATATCGCAGAGGTATAGAAACTGAATGCCATGCCAACAATGTATCATACAGAGCACTGAGGAGCATCTCGTTAAATGAGAAGAAAGGAAATTCCATTGCACAGATCCTACAGCCCTCTTTACTAAAGGAGGCTGCAGATGGCAAAAAGCTTAAACAAGTTCAAGAAAATCAAAACCAGGAGTTCATGAATGAAAGTTCCATCAAGGATTTCTAAACACAAAGACTCTCAATACATGACTCTGGATGTCCCTGATCCACAGGCTACTGCTGTGATTCTCAGGAGCTGTCTGCAAAGGCTTACTATTTCCTTCAGTTTTTCACTGCCGACCTGCCTGTGGGAAGGAGTCCTGGGTTGGATGGATTGTACCTTAAGATCTAGGTCTTACCTAAGACAGTTCCTATGCTGCTGATAAGATAATCAGCAGATGTGACACAGCTCCAGGATGTTTCATCCAGCAACCAAAATAGGAAACACTTAGCAGCAGCACTACAAGGAATGGGTCAAAACCGGCAACAACATAATTTCTGACACCACTCTGGTAAAGGTGGGAAGCTCTAGAGAAACGAAAGCATGAAAAACTCAAGTACAAGTAACTATCAACTGACCGAACATCAAAACACGGAAAGCTTTGCCTGTTTAACATTCTAACCACAAATAAGAAAAAAAGGCATTGTCCACAAAAGCGGACACTACTGCAGGGCTCCCATTCCGTTGAGTAGTCGTGGCAGACAGGAGCCCATCGAGGCCCAGCCTGCTGTCTGCTCTGTGGTCATGGCTCCAGCAGATGCCATTAGCCCAGGTCCTTGGCCATCTGAGCACACCTATCAGCAACAGGAACCGTAAGGACAAACGCCTGATGAAATTTGGTTCACACTAGTTGCCTCCAGTGAAGAAGAGCTTGTGATGAAATTTCATTCACACTACTTGTTCTGCAGTGAAGAAAAACTTTTTTGTATGTAACAGGCTCCCTAATGACTTCTGCTCTCCAGGATTTTCAAGGGCTGGTTCTCTGAATGGAGTATCTGCTGAGCTATCTCACCTTATTTCCACCCTGGGTGAACTCCTTCATGCTCACCTCCCACAACAGCTCCAGAAAGTCCATGCAGCTTACCCTGCAGACTGGCACTTTGTTATTGGCTGATCTGTACAATCATCCTCATTCTATTTGTTTGAGAAATAAATCATTCCTTTTCAGGTTATTCTAGAAAGTCACAAGATTTGAACCGGTCTTCTTTTCAAGTGAGCTGGTCAATTCTTAGTGAAAGCTCACGTGGCCTCAGTGTCACGGTGCTAAAGGCATCCCAAAAGGCTGGGTCCTGCAACCAAGGCTTCCAAGAGAAGGGAAGTAACAGGGAGGGAGTTTTCTACCAACATAACAGCTTTCCCGCATCCCCTTGCTGAAAACCAGCTATTGTGATATGCACATTCACATTTAGCTAGCTGGCAAAAGGAAGTATAAGTAGAAAATCTCCTACAAGGAAAGAAAAATGATGAAAAGACAATTTTTAGCAGTAGACAACAATAACTCAGACTGACTTTGACTTAATATAATTGTCCCTGCAGATATAAAACTTGTTTTATGAGGAAAAAAAACAACCAACCAGTTTTTACAGTATTTTCTGAGCCAAACAGGTGAGACAGTGGGGAAAGTCAAGGGCTACTTTTTTTCAGTTCATCCCTCCAGTAGAAACGCGTCATGATCACACAGTTGTGTGTGCGGTACCAGGAGGAACTTAGAACTGGGGACAGGTATTTCTGTGCTGCTTATTCAAGAGTACACCATAAAATGCATGAATCAAATAGCAGATGGGTAGCCTACACAAATGCCCCAGCTGAATTCAATAGCACGGGTCAGAAGACTAGCTTTCAAGACCAAACGCATAGAATAACATCCATCAACACAATTCTCCACCCAGTCTCCCAGACAAGTTTCCTGTACATTTTTGAGATGTGTATTTTCATGAAAACTCAAGAGCTGAGGCCATTTCTGGACTCTCTCTACTGCTTAGCAAGTCCCGGCTGAACTGTTGAAACAGATGGTGCTATTTCATGGCAAATAGATATCAATATTGCACAAAGATGATTTTTAAGGTGACAAGGTACTATTGTATGTTGTGAAAAGGCTAACAAAAAAAACCTCCCACACCAAACCTAAACCTGCTCTCTTAACTGATAAAAATTCACAAAAATCAGGCAGAAACAGTCCATCAGCTACTATAGCCATACAACAATTTAATATTTGGTGAGTGTTGTAACTGTTACTTACTTGCTAATACAAGGACAAATACATTAGTTAACATTTTAATACATCCTAGTTGGGGGAATCCCTATTGATTACCTTTCTTATCTAAAGAAATATTAGTCGTTCAATAGGCTCTTTTCCCCACTCCCTCCCTAAATCTATTTTAAAAATTCATGTCAAACTTTAAACATGCTTTAAAGCTTTACAATACTGTGCTTTTTTTTCCCCTGAAAAATGAACAGACACATGCCAAAAGCCAAGCTCTACAGAACAAAGCAATGCACACAATGAGAGAGAGGATAAGAGATTTCAGTTTTAAAGCTTTCACAGCATTACTGTTTTACAAAACTATAGCAGTTTTGGAATTTAAGACACTTCAGAACCTTCCTCTGAAAGTCACAGCTCAATCAGAAGTTATGACCTATTAATCCAAACACTGCCATTCCTCTTAGCCCCCCTAGAGCCTAGGATCAGCGCAAAGCCAAAGAACAATACTTGAATGTTCAAGAACAGCTGCAAAAGACAACTGCTAACTACACCAGCTGGGGCTTGCCACATTGCTGTCTGTCAGATTTATTTAATACCGTATTAAAAATATTCCCAAAGAATGTGCCACCAGACTCTGAATGCAGCATTTGTGCATTAACCTACAAAGTGGAAATTAAAATATTACTACTACTGGGTCATGCAAACAAGTTGGGTGCCATGCTAATTAAAGCCAATACTGCATCCAACAGAGATTGATGACAAAAAGAAAATACAACCAATGGCAGCTGAGATGCTCTCTCCATCCATTTTTAGTTGGTTATTGATCTAGAAATTGTGAACCCAATGTGTCTATCTTGGCATACTGATTAATGACGAAGCCGTTCAACAAATATCTGCAATGGCAAGAGAAGTGACAGTGAGAGCTAACACACTATTTCATGGGTGGGAAGAGGTTTCACTAAGCTGGGGCCTTCAGCTTGCCTCACATATTGCTAAGGCATGCTCCAGACAGCAATCATCTGAAACCACATCCAAAGGTTCACACCCCAGTTCTTTCCAACTTTTAACTCATAGAGGGTCTTTGCTATGGTATTTCTGACTGAGTATCTATATCAGGTTTAGACCATAACTTCTCTATTGCAACCAGAAAGCAGTTTACTCACAGTACATGATTTGCAAGGTTTTGAGAACTGCAAAATCACATTGCTACTGGAATAGACTTAGTTACCGGCACGGCCTTCTCCATTAGATACTTGCCACTAAGTAAAGGTCTGTTGAGTGTATAAAGAGGTGGTAGATCTTCTATCTCTGCTATCCTCTGGTATACGGCTCTGGATAGATGATCCCCATGATATAAACTCCCCAAGATGATGCTAGAGAAGTAAATTGGCTCCACAAAGAGGCTAAGTAAGGCTCCTTGAATACCCAATACGTTCCACCTAAGAGGGAGGGAAAAACAAAACAAAAAAAACAAAAAAAACACTTTCTTTTTAATGGAACAAGTAACATCTGCCAGACATAACAGCAGTCAATCACAATGGACCAGACTTTCAACCCTTCCTCTTGACCAGCACACAGCTATGGTAGCCTAGCTGTGACACCTGCCCGAATTTCATAGATCAGCTTATGGGATGCTCAGCAAAATCCTGAGTAAGATGTCCTATAGCAACAGGTCTACTGTCAGCACTCACTTCAGGAGCAGACTCCATGACTTTATGGTCCCACTAACATGTCTGGTGATGTGTTTTCCAGCACCCTAATGCCAGAGAATGACAGGATCATTCAATCAGAGAAAGCCAAACTGTGAGATCCTCAGTCAGAAACAGTAGCTGCTGCCTCCAAAAGACACCTGGCAGTGGGCAAACAGTCCTTCCCAGAACACAAGAAGGATTGTGTCTGCAAGACCTCAGCACCATAAGGGAAAGCTTGCCCTTCACACCCTAGCCAAACTGTCCACATCCTGCTGCCGGAAAGGACACAGGTAGTGGCTTGCAATATCCACGGGCAGGGAGAAAACTGAATCTGAAAACTGAAAATATGCAAAGAGTGTATGAACTCTTTGCTCACTGTAGCTGCTCCATAGACTCCAACCATACATCCCTCTCTGCATCACTGTGACCTACACTGGGTCAGGTCCGGTGGCAGGGATATAGCATGCATAGGAGCAAAATACTGAACTTTTTTTTTGTAGCTACATTCATTTGATCAAGTTTTGGCTCTCAATCTGTATGTACTGCAAGTACTTTTTAAAACCTGACAGTCTCCTGCAGAGTATTTTCATTGTCCTTGTCTCTGAGGTACACTTACAAAGAGGTTGGCATTATTAAAATAGCATATTTGAGTACAACTACAACACCCAGACACAAGCAGCATGAACGTTATATTTGGCTCTTGATAAAACAGATGAACATGATGGAAGCTCTTGTGCTCATACAGAATGGTTGTCCTCACTGAAAGGCCCATCCTAAACCAGGTTGCAAGGTTCCCCTAGGAAAACAGGCAACTTTGATGTTGCTAACAGAGTTTCTTGCAGCTTGTGTTGGGCTACACACATCATTATCAGTTCAAGCTAGAAACTACACAGCACAACTGCTTCACTACTGCAAAAACTGAACATCACATGTTGGCTACAAAACTTGCAAAACGTTAAAAAAAAGGGTAAAACAAAAATTGCAATCCAAGGAAACAATCTTGTTGCATATCCTTACTGAGGATGAAAATGGGAGGCAATGTGCATTAGCTACTCACCTGCCATTAAAAAAGCTGGCCCTAATGAATGAGTAAAGATACTGTGCTGCTAAAATACAAGGCATATTTTACATTAGATAAAAGCATATTTTGTTTAACACAGCAAATGCAACCAGCAACCAAACATCAGAGTAAAGATATGAAGTCAAAATTATGGCTTCCCAGGGCCTAGGTGCCTTTCTAAGGACCTTACCATGGCTAGAATTTTGTGAGCACAGACGTATTTCAAGTGCCGAATGAATCACAATAGTATTTTCTTATTATTTGCAGTATTACCTACAAGAAGCATAGAAAAGCATAGGTACTGCTCCAGACACAGATAACATTATGGAAAAAATGTGTGGAAAGAATTCAAGACTAAGCATTGCAAACCAGGGTCTTAAAATCGTATCTGAAGCTTGTAGCCACACAAACCAAGCTTCCTTCAGAGAAGGAATTTTACATTTTACTTCTTATGAACAGTACTTGAGTGACAGATGGACATTTTAAAAAAGGCCAAAGCATTCCTCTGGCAAGCCCTAGCTCCCTAAATAAAACCTCTGCCAGACCTTTTCCCTTGCTTCAGTGTTAAGTATTGCCAGGCTTGTGTTTTGCTGCTTCCTCCCACACTTGGTGACTGTCTCCAGCACAGAAAATGAAAGCTGAAGTTTGTCTTGCTCAACTTCTTTTGATTAAAAGAGAAGGAGTATAGATACCTGAACAAGCTTCTGCAAGGTAAACTGTATGAACTGGTATTACAAGAGCTCCTCTATGACAGCCCACCTGCCTGCTGTTTTGCTGGGTTGTGCTGCATCACGTTTACCACTGCCGTAGGTGCCCATGAACGCTGGCTTGCTGGAAGGACAGGATTTGCAGAAACCATTCATACAGAAAAGCCTGAAGCTCTTAATGTCCATTAGGCAGGGTTGGATAGTGGTTATAAAACTAGCTTTAAAATTTCATTTGTTTGAATCGAAGAACACATACTTATCTATAGAAACACATACTTGCATCAGAAACCGGCAGTAACAGAGATAAACATGAACAGAGTCAAAAGGAAGGACTGTACAGACACTTGCCTCTTGTTCCTTCTTTATACTGTACTTCTTTCTGTCAAACAGTAATTTCTCACTTCCATTAGCATGTACACTAAAACTTTTATAGGTATCAACTGAGAAGAAGCTACTCCAGTCCCACACATCAGTTTTTGAAAGGCCACGGACATCACTGCCTCCTGAATTGGTAAGACTGCTGCATTCTTCCAGTTTACAAGCACAAATTGCCAGAATGCATGCCAACAAATGCTGTCAATCTACTACTAAAGTGTGCTGAAACCACAACCTCTTTTGAAGTTAACAGGCCAAATTCTGTATTTCACTACAAACCATGAGGGGCAGAGCAGAAAGAACAAAACTTATTACAGAAAATTTTAATTTAGTACTGCCTTTCCAGTGAAACAATTAAGCCAAGGATTTTTTTTCTTCACATTAAAAATAGTATCAGAAAAGGGTTAACTAACTGAAGGGACTTAAATCTAGTGTACAAACTTAAACCTTCCAAGGCTCAGATGCACTTTATAACACAGAAATTAACCTTCTGACACTGCAGTAGAGTGGACACAGATGCTGGCAGCAGCACAGTATTCACTTTGGAGCATTTGATGGCTCAAGAAAGTGATGATGGAAAACAACTCTCCCATCACTAATTGAGCAGTTTAAATCTCTCCTGCACCAGCCATGGGCAAAAATGCAGCACTCCCATGCAAAATGAGCTGATCTGGGGTCGAGTTTTAATGGGCAGATCACAGAGCAGACTGGACCCATGAAGAAGTACCTTTTCTCACCATTAAAGCAGGCAAATGGCACCATGTTGGCAACAGAGAAAAACACTAAAGCACGAGCATAAGCAGAATATGGGAATGCTCCATCACGTCAATGGTGACACTGAAATGTTTAATGTAAGGCAAGTCTTGTCTTGTGCAGACAAGAGGTTTGCCAAATGGGAAGAACGCCTCAGCATGGTAGGAGACACCCTCCAACCTAAAACTTCTCACTGGAAAAATTTGAGACTCTTGTCTCAGCTGAGCCTAAAACGAATGCCTATTCTGACAGTATTTTACATATTCTGAGTGTTCTGGTTTTAAGTTACTACAAGAATTTGCTTTCACAACCTTCAGAAAACTTCAGAGTAAAACTGACATTTAAAATAGAAGCTTTTATACTGACACAATATATAAGCCACAGGATTTAGGTTCAGACTGTCAGCACTTAAATATAGGCGCCTTGACTTGAGCTGGGTGTCTAGATCTCATTACAGTCAATGGCGATTTAGTCATCAGCTGAGTACAACCGCAGTCGTTGGGCTGAACAGTTCTCCATCGCCAGGTTGGGCATCTAACACTGGCAAAGCTGAGACACCTGACAGGGATACCAGTGGCTGAACACCAGCCACACATTCAGTAACGCGCAATACTCGTCCAGCTTCAACTATGCAGTTCTGCAAGTGATGCACAGCACAAGGAAAGGCAACGTGATGTGATGCCAGAAAGTTCATTCAAAGGTGTATTTACTCATTCTGAAATAGCCTTTTGCCTCTGAGGCACCCTTTGTTAGAGGATAGATCATAGAGTGGTTTAGGTTGGAAGGGACCTTAAAGATCATCCAGGCCAACCCCTGCCATGGGCAGGGACACCTCCCACCAGACCAGGCTGCTCAAAGCCCTGTCCAACCTGGCCTTGAACACTTCCAGGGAGGGGGCATCCACAGCTTCCCTGTGCAACCTGTGCCAGTGTCTCACCACCCTCACAGTGAAGCATTCCTTCCTAATGTCTAAGCTAAATCTACCCCGTTCTGGTTTAAAGCCATTATCCCTTGTTCTATCACTAAGAATATCACTAATAAGAGATCATTCAGAGTCACCAAGCAGTTTGATTCACTCTCTAGCAGGGGCTCATCGAGGTGATATTTAAGCCCTACCATGTTTGACAAGGCAACAGAATTTCTAAAGCTCTTCGAGCAATAGTTAGACAAGTACTTAAGCATGAGAAGGGAAACAAAAGCTGTCAATCAAACCCACAGCTCTCCTTCTTCCTCAGACAGGCCAGCTGAAACACTGCAATGGCCCTTACTAGCACCTGGACCAGGAGGTTCAGTGTTCCCATCACTGCATGTATGAGCTACTGCTGCTTTTCCAGGACAAGAAAAAAGAAATTATAACTTTATCTGACTATCTGGCCACTGAGTAGTTCCAAGTGGCTAACAGACACAAGGAGGATGGCAGTCAAAAGATGCTGTCATTTGCTGCTGCTATAAAGTGTGAAGTGGGGAAGCACCCCATCATCTTCCCAGCTCCAAACCTGACTGAAAAGGACTCTGCCTATCACCACCTTGATCCTCCTCAGCCTGTTAATTTTATTGCTTGTACAGTTCACCACAAAGTCAGATCAATGACATGATTCAAGTTTTAAAAAGTGACACCAAAAAACCCCCTGGCCTCATATTTTGAAGCAGTCATTTCCCCAGTTCGGTTTACAGCACAGCTCCACAAACAATGGCACCATCACCGAGAGGCATGAAGATGCAACATGCAGGAGGGATGCAGTGCCCTGACATGGGTGCTGCAAGTCTCCCAAAACACCTTCTCCATCAGAGAATACACTACTGAAAACATGCTTCCAAACCCAGCTGAAAGTTAGCTTGGTTTTAGAAAGGAA